GCACAGTACCGTGAGAGCCTAATTTAGGTGTTGGAAACTTTGTGAAATTCTATTCGTGCTGTAAAAATTAAAAGCACACATGTGAATTATTACAATTACTCAGTAGAACTTAATAGGTGGAAACTTGGTAAGCCGCTGTGATTTGGTTGCCCTGCAGTTCTGTGGTCATACTATGTCTTTCTTTGTGCTCCCATGCACAGCGTAGCGTGCTGCAGCCCTCCTGAGAAATGGGACAAGCGTGCTAGCTAAGAGTTGGATCCACGATAATAAGATTATCTCACACCTATACAGACCTCAGCGAGCAGCTATTTTAAGCAGGGTAGAACAGCGAACACGAGCAAGCGGCTGCAAAACATGTCCAGATGTCCCCATTTCTGGAATATCAGGGGGACAGTGTTGCTGTGGTGTGCTTTCATAGGACACAGCCCTTCCTTCACCCTTCACCCTCTGCTTTCTCTTCTCCTTGACAACTTTAATGGTTTAATATATACTTTAGACTATAACTATAAGCTTTAATCCTAAACTTGGCTTGGAAAGAATAAACCATAAATCTACTGGCAACAGACAGAGAGTTATTTCCAACATAATTGTTTCCACAGGATACCACCTGGTGTGTATTTGCCTCAATTTAATAGCCTCCAATGGCTTCATGTGTTGTATTCAAATCAAACCACTAAGCCAAAGTGCATATAACATTTAAAAAAACATATTCAGAATAATGTACATCACTTTTTCTTTCTTTCCACAGCTATTTGCTTTCTTACTTCAATGCTACCAACTCACCACTGGATACGTGCTGGTGCACTGCTCTTGGGTCAGACTCCCCTGGCACCCTCAAGTGCTGCATGTAAAGGAGCAGAATCTTCTACCTTTGGGTATGACTTTCTACTTCCACTACAAATATTATCAAAGATAGGATGACAGGATTTGAGAATAGAGGTTTACTTGTAAATCACTACAATTTTCTACTTTTTATGTTGATTGCCGAGTGTGTTTCTGTTTTGTGAATGCATGCCTTACACCTTACGTATAGCCTCTTTATGTTGGAATGTCTTCAGCAGCAACCCCAAACTCAGGATCAGAAGTAATAAACATGTCTTCTTCCAGCTGCAAAAAGATCTGCTTCAAAAACTGTCACAAATGGTCCTGCAAGGAAAATTAAATTATTATTGCCTCTTTCTTTATTGAATGAATATGTTTAACATCTTAAAGGAGTTTTCCATTGACGTGAGGTTTTGGTACATGCCAAGAACTAGGAAACAATTTTTAATTCTGTCTAACACTTTGAAACAGAGTACTTTCCTCTGCTGTACTAGTATACTGTTATTTATTTTCCCGTGATGGAATATTATGACAATGTATATTATAAATCTTTCCTGAGGGAGATTTCAGTAACTTCTAAGTGCTTATCTGGTCAGAGTGCTCAGCTGCAGACAACAACCTAAATAAAAAGTGATTATTTTGAAAAGCAATAGCAAGAAAAAGTTAAATGCTTTTTAGATGTATTGAGAAAGAAGATAAAAATATCGTAAATTAGTTTAAAGATTTCAACCATAAATCGGTGAGGAGGCTTGGAGTTAAACTTCTACTCTCAGCATCTCAGATGTAGACAAAATGAAAAGTCATAGGTATGAAGCCCCGAATTCTCTAGACTTGTACTTATTTTATGTGCTGCTAGCTGGATATGAGAGCTAGTCCCTACTAAATGAGGTTGCCAAGGATTTCAAAATAAATGAAGTAAATTGTCCCAAAACTCGAGTGAAGTAACACTGTTGTGTAGCTCCTTCCACTTCTCTTTCTCTCCTTTTCACCTTTCTTCTGGATCAGAGTATATAAGAAAAATATTATAGTAAAGAAAGAGCATATAGTAAAAGTAAAATGTATAGAAGTTTATATCTTTCCTCTCCAGTTCCCTTCATACTGACCGGAAAGGGGCAGAGCAGACTCCTCACACCCATAGCGCACTAGTTTGGGGCTTCAGAGAGCATCACAAGAGGTCAGTTCTATGAACGGCATTGATATGGGCATCAAAAGCCACAAAGATCTAAAAATGAACTTGCTGAAAAGATTTTAAAATGATTGAGGTTATTTTGATTGAAAGACAGTTTGATCAGACACAATGGTCGAGGTTGCAGACTTTACAATTGTGGTCATGAGTGATATCTTCGCCCTGATACCTGTAGCGTGTATTGCTCCTATTTTGGCATTAGCCAGCCAGATCCTCTTAAAATGGAGTCTAGTTACACCGATTTTTTAAAAATATTGAGATAATCTTGTTCAATAAAAGCACAATAAGGAACAGGAGAGGACAGAGAGGTTTCCCGAGGTCGCTGTCTGTCTAAGCCACCAGGGGGGACTCATTCCTCATCTATATCATCTCCTGCAGAAAGTATCTGAAAAAACCACCAATTCGTGAACCAGGTCTAGAAAGTCAGAGTTCAGCAGAGAGCTTGGCTTCATCTGTTTTGAAAGAGCTTTTATATAAAATCTTGTAAATCAGCAGTCTTCTTTTCAGTCTGCCCATGGGTGCGTCAGCCACTCAACACGCTGTGCATGAAGTGCAAGTCTGGCCACACAGGGACAGACACGCTTTCAGCTGGGTCATCGTATATGTCGATAGGATACAGTCAATGCCATCTCATGCCTACTTCAACCTGACCTATGACTTTTGCTGAATCTATTGGACTGACAGAAGACTCAGCAGAGAGCCTGGCTTGGCGTCTCACTCATTAGACTTGCTCCACGCCAGTGGTCATGGCTTTGTGGTGGAAAGGAACCTTTTTTGACTGTACATGCACAAAGTAGCTCTTCTTTAGTGGCTGCTTCATCACTCCTTAGTGGCTGTCTCATTACTCCGTTTCTTTTTTCCAACTATTACAGCCTTCCCAATTTATTTCCATTTCACTACATATTTTACTTTTTTTAAGCAAAATTTGGCCTTTTTGAAACAGAACTATATTATTGCTAAGATAACAAAGGGTTTGTATGTTTTATAGCATCCTATTAAACAATAGCAAAAATCTGTGTGCAATGTATCTACTCTGGAGATCTGCCAGGAAAGTTGTATAATTTTGAATTCTCATTTAAAAGCCAAATGTTAGAAGTTTCTTTCAGTCTTGAACTCTGTCAGGCTGGTGAGACTCTTCTTGTGGTCTGTAGAAGGTTGGAAATACTGAAGAGAATTCTCCAGCCGTATTAAAATTTCAAATTTTTATCTTTTTTTTGGTGAATTAATAGATGCATTAACTTGTTAGTTGGTGCTTTTAATTGAATTCTCACCTTCCTTAACTAGTCTGGGTACTCTCCCCTTCTTCTGGGCACAATCAGTCATGTTTTTGTGCATGTCGCTATACATAATCTTTTGCATTGCATGTTTAGACTTCTGAAAACCAATTTCTTAATCTTCTACTACTTTGTCTTTAAAACATGTAAAATATTACACCGATGTGCACAGAATTTGTGACAATACAAGCTTTTAGACACTGTGATGGGGAATGGGGAGAGCCAGAACAATTGATTAAGTTATATTTAAGTAATTTTTATTGTGTTTCATGCTTAGCACAACCTCAAATATCTGTCTATTGTACATAGTGTTTCTTTTTTTGTAAAAAATACAATTTTGAATGTAAAAGGAACCTGCAGACATACATATAAATCAAGAAGGTAACTCATAAGAAAATATCATTAAGTTCTCTAAGTCATTCTTCCATAAATTCAGTAAGTATCCATATTTCATTATTTTCAGAAAAAAGTGTAATTGTGTTTTCTGCCAGTTAGATGGTGATTGTGCTCTCTCAAATGAGATATTAGAATTTTTATGATCTGTTTCTGTAGTTGGGACTAGCAATATTGCTGGGTTTGTGCAGTAAAAGCTGACCCAGTTTAGTCCAAAGTATTGATATAGCAGATACAGGCAAAATATGTTATTCTTTGTGTATTGCACTAACAGACAGAAATAAGGCGATGTATCTGATACCAAAAGTGCTGTAAGAGTTTTTGGTTTAGTGTTTCAAATCCGTCTATCAAAATCTGCAACCTGGACTGTTTTCAACAACCTAGGTTAAAATTGGACTCCTAACCTATCTCCAGTTGTGACAGATAGATTTTGCGTTCTTCTAGAAACATCTCAGTCAAAATTTGACAGCTTTTTTTATTAATTGTCTCGTGTTTGGTGGTCGCCTGGACCCATGCCCGTGCATGGCACTGGCACAACAGTCAGGGGCTGGGCTCCTTGCTCTTGGGCAAATCATGCAGTGCAGGAGGAGGTCACGGAGGGAGGCTGGGACTTGTCAGTTGTAATTTTACGGATTTTTAAGATTGCTTTCCCTAAGAGGTATAACCATGATTGATAGATACAGCTTTGAAGATGGTAGCTGACATCGTGCAGGACATCAGTGGTTCTGTCATGCCAGAAGGTTGTGTTCAGCTCCCACACTCCCCTTCATTTGGAAATACATCATCTAATGACACTCGTCTGGGTGCCAGCATGTTCTTAAAGCATGGTGAGCTTTGTAACAGGTTCATTCTGAAAACTTGTAAGAGTTATTTGCTACCATATCAATAAAAGAGTGGACTTGATTTTCATTATTTGTGGATTTTTCTCTTCTTTATTATGTACAGGAAACTCTGTGAGCCTTTAAGTTGTGCCTTAACAAATGTTATGTCTGATGAGTCAACTAAACTTGCCCTTTACGTGCTTCTGGTAATCATAATTTTACTTCTCCTCACTTCCCCATTTCACAGAGTTTTCTCTTTCATTTTTCACTCGTGGCTTGAGCTGCGTTATCTGGGCAAAATGTAACAACGAAGGCAGAAATTATTTTTCTTCACAAAATTTATTGTGAGGATAACTGATAGTGCTGCAGTAGGATTAATCAAGATTGCAGAGAATTTGACAAAATAACTGAATTCCCTCAAGACATGTGACTGAGGATGACTGTGCTGAATTTTTCTTCCTCTTTCTCCAAAACGAAGTTTTACACTGAACAAAATAAGTAACTATGTTTGGACTTTTTTTTTTCATTTTATTCACACCTGGAGTCAGTGAGTTTATTTGTAAGTCGTCAGAACTAGATATATCATATACTTTCTGTGGTAAGTAAAAAATAGCTTATTCTTTTCTTACTGGTGTTTGCACAATAATTACTGCTGTAGACTGAGGAAATGTGAACTTTCTTTTGAGTTTGTTTTGTCAGAATATAGAAAAATAAAAAGACGTTCAGATGGAGTATATTTGTTATCAATTACCGTATTATAAGAATTATGCTGCATAGATGTAAGTATTACCACAATGGTGGTTGCCGCAGCCGAAAGAAAAGTTTACTCCCAAGTAAAGCAGGCATGTTTTGATTTAGGAAATATTAGAAGATAAGGGATTTAAACTCATTTTGCAAGTACTCTATTGTATAAATAATTCACGTTGATTTAACCAATACATTAGCTTTAAGAATACGGAAAAAGAGGGGGAATGTGATATTCTGTAAGGCTGTAGGATCAGTCAGGCTCCGGGACAACATGGCGAGTACCTTCTTGCCATTTCTGTGTCGTGGGCTGCTGTATCTGTGTAGTTCACTGAGTTTTTTGGTCAATTCTGCAAGAGCTTGGCACCTCCTAGATGCCCATGTTGAACAGGTTCGGTGTGCCCCTGCGGACTCAGTGGCCAGAAGGCAGGCTTTTGAAGAGATACTTTGCGAGAAAAGGCCCATGTCTTTTGAAAATCTGTGTGCATTACAAGTGTGTATCACCTGTAAAATAGCTATATAAACTGAGGCACAGGAGGAGATGTTTGTTTTGGGTGCTTTGCTTTACTTCAACGCTCATGTTAAAAATTTCGCAAGGGTCAAAGTGGCGGTACTTAAGCTTGCAAACCAAACCCTTGAGACTGCGGTGCGTTTTGTTTGCCCTTTTTCCTGTCGTAATTTCCCGTGCGTAGTTGTATCCGAGATGAGAAGCTGACAGCTGGTTACCAGCAGCCAGCCAGTTTCCCTTGGCACGCCCTTTGCTTTAATCCCCGAAACACGAGGCAGAGCCCTTCGCTGGAAATCACCCTGCCATCCCGTTTGCTAGCTGGGTTAGCACAGGGAGCACCCTTTCCCCATCCCGCCTCCTGGCCTGCGGTGAGCAGGGCGCTGTTTCTGCGTCAGCACGCTGGGGAGGGCAGAAGCCAGCTGAATTCAACAGACTGCTGTCCTAAAATTAAAATCAAAATTAAAATCCTGACTGGAAATTCTTCCGAAGGCTGTCACTGAATGAGTTTTTAAAAATTAAAAGATCAGCTAGTGGGCTCTAAATTTGATTAGACACAGGTTGTATGATGCTTTATCATGCTGCATCTGACACCATGCATTGTACAGTGTTAGGTGGGTCACTCACAAAGTAAATCTACTCAAAGGCTCAGTTACGTTATACTGGAAAATAGGCTTGTACATTAAAAATATTTTTAGCTGTTGTCAGCGAGTTTATATAGATTCCATGGTTAGCATAAGTAGGGATATTTTCAGCTGAGGACGATGCTGGCTTAATGCTAATAAAAAGTTTGTGTAACTTCAAAAGAGAAATAAAGGTACTTTTGCCTCTGAGTATTGTGTGGAAAATATCATCAACCAAATAATTGACTTTTCTTGCTGCTTAGAAATATGATATTATTTTTGCTCTCTAAGCATATAAATAATTAAAAATATAATATAAAATACATATTTAACATTTAATATGGATATCTATATTAAACAATTTTACAGCATACACCTTATATTAAATACATTTAAAAATGTAAATGTGTTTATTGTGAGTGTGCATATATGTATATTTTTATTATTTTCTTGGAGAAGCCTGTTCATGCTACCAATACGAAATACTTTTTTCCTGTAGATTCTATAGCTCATGCTTTCATGTTTAATCTGACACCTTGCAGCATCATGAACAAATCCATCTGGAAGCTCACTCTTACCTGGATTCCAAGTGAGTCCCTCTTGATTAGACAGTTATATTCTGCAAATGCAAAAAACTAAATGCAAGTGAAAACCTGACACTTCACCCTAAATGCCAAATGACTTAGGAGATCAGTTTCCGTGATTAAAAATCGAATAGATAAACTACAGTGATGGACAGAAATGATGAAGGTTTGTGGAAATAACCGTGTTTAAGTTTTACTTGGTGCAGTTACCAGAGCTCTGCACACTAACTGGCACTGTACATGCAAATCTGAGATGGTTTAGGTGCACGTACATTTGCCTGAAAGAAGCAGACTAGATTTGCAACACAGAAGCTCTTCTGGCCTGAAGAAGATGCGAGCTTTTTTAAGGAGAGAGAATGTCATTAAGCTATGCAAGTATGGCAGGATTTCTATTAAGAACATGCATGTTCCAGAAGCTGGAACAGATTTTGAAATTGTTCACTCAAATATGTTTTAAGACTAATGTTTTTTGTTGAAAACCAGCTTTCTGTTTTTCTGGAGGTAACAGTTTTCAAGATACGTATTTTTGTTAGTTTAAAGAATATTGTATTTCAGAGAAAACTAATTTTTATCTAAATAGCTTGTCTGCATACATGTTTTTCCTCTCCATCAGCTACTATTTTCTTTCTTGCAATGTCTTAACTAGGAAGTGACATCACCTTTTTGAAGGCCGTCTTCAACGTCTGGTACGAAGGTGCCAAAGCATTACACTGGAAGGAAGTCATCTGCCGCGGAGCCGACGACAAATACTCAGTGTGCGGAATGCTGAAAGGAGGTCGGTGTGGAAAATATACGGCACCTTTCCTTTGCCTGTCAGGTTCTCTCCACCACAGGGCCATATCCTGCCAGCCCTTTTTCACCACTAAGCAGATTTCTGAAAATACTAATCGATCAACCCATGCAGACAAATTTTTCTCTCCACAGCCTAGACCAACTCACCTCACTTGGCAGGCAGCAGATTTCAGAGCAGGCAGGTTGTCAGTACCAGAACCCCTCTAAAATAGAGAATTTCCACATTCCATGCTTTAACATCCTTGTACTGCAGTTTCCATCTCTATAAATTAGAATTACTAATATCCCTCATCTCATTATGACACTTTCATTGTCAACATGTCTAAAATGACACGGAAAGACTACATTTGACTGGACTGCACACAGAACTTGAGAGGAGCTAGGGGCATTGCTAATATCCAGAACACAGTTTATTTACATAAGTGTCTGGGTGGGTTTTTAAAGAGATTCTCTACATCCATGTGTAATGCTTTTTTTTGTTAGAGAAGAGCCAATCCTGTTGTAGGGACCAACCAACATTAACATGACACAGACTCAGATCTGGAAGATTTCAGGCAGGATGTCAAACTAAAAGCCAAAAAGATGAGGAGGGACATCAAAATACACAATCCATGTTTTCCCTGGTTTAAAAGTGAATATCAGCTCTCTTCAGTCATAATTCAGCTGAACTACTATTGCATGTTAAATTGTTGGAGTTATCACAGTAGGATGGGTCTGTGGGAAATATTGCAGGAGCATCGTGGTTAATTTCTGTTTTCTAACATGTGGTTCAGACAAATAGAGCTCTGGGAGAAGAAACAGGTGAGGGCTTTATCACTGCAAGAGAGAATGGCATTGGCAGTGTTGATGAGAGATATGTCATATTGCTTTGAAGTTATTTAGAAAGTTTGATTAATGGCTTTATGATTAAGTAACCATTTATATTATAACTATCTCTGTTTTACAGAAACAGTTGCAGCAGCATTTGACATTAAAGGTGCAAGAACAAAGTTTCCAAAGGTACTTTTCAGTATTTTATATCAAGAAATAACAATAGTGAAATAACATACTTACATGTATATATTTTCTAGAAAGACATGTTCACAGAAACTGTAGAAAAGAGCAAAAAGACATGTCAGAAAACTTTCTCATGCTTGAAGTGATGACTCCAGAGTGGTAACATCTCTGAAATGCTAGATGTCCTGAGGTTATTATTCCTCTATTTTTCCTCCTTTATTTTATAAAAGAAAATACCAAAAGTATTAGTTAATGTCACCTTAATCATTCCAGTTTGCTTGATAAATTATTGTGTTTCCTCTTGTCTGTTTGAGAAAATCCATTCATATTCTTTCTGCTGATTTTGTTGTTTATTTTATGTTCTCTTCACATAGAATCATAGAATCATAGAACTATCTAGTTGGAAGAGACCCTCAAGATCATCGAGTCCAACCGTTCACCCTGCACTGTCAGGGTCCCTAAACCATGTTCCTCAACACCAAATCCACACGGTTTTTAAACACCTCCAGGGATGGGGACTCAACCACCTCCCTGGGCAGCCTGTTCCAATACTTCACAACCCTCTCTATAGAAATTTTTCCTAATATCTAACCTAAATTTCCCCTGGCGTAACTTGAGTCTCATTTCAACCCTCTCATCCTGTCATTCATAATATGTTGCTGTCGCTCCCTGAAACCCTTTTCAAAGATTTGAAGAGGGATAACAATATCAAAAAATAAAAGCAATGCGGCACCAGTCCTCAGGTTAGCCCATTCTCATCCAACACCAGCCTCATCAGCCACCTGAGTCTTCCCAAGACCCTAAAATCAGCCTTACTGTCCCTATTAATGCTCACAGATGTCACTAAGGAGCTCCTACTGGCACAAAATCTCCAGCCTCCCCTTAACTCAAAGCTTGTCAACCTCTAACAGTGTTGAAGTCCAGCCTGGCATCTTTTCTAGCCCCAGAGGTGGCAGTAGCCAGGAATATTCTCTGCCATATGCAGTCCTCCTATAGATGAGGTGCTTATGTCAGACCTGACACTTCCCAATGGGACTCTACTAAATCAGGAGCTAACCCTAATCATAGCCTTTAGAGTGAACTGGAAACTCTTACAAGCTTCCCAATCTTTTAGATTAGCCCTAAGAGCCCTTCAGCTCCCTAGTGCTCATCCCCAGTTTGCCATATCAGAAGAGGAAGGTGGCAGTTGTCAAAGAAGGTGGGGTAAAAGCTGAGTTCAGTAAGGGCCACCAAGGTATCGTTTGTCCTGATGCCTACAAAAGTCTGTCTGCACGAGGGTGTGAAGGTGGGTAACTAGACAGACAATGGCTAAACCTGGGGTGATGCTGCTTTGTGGATCAGACTGATGGATGTAGATGAGCAAAGCAATGGGTCTGGAAGGAATGCTGAGCTGATGCCATGACCAGTGTTGCTTTCGGTAGTGTGCACTGCGAGAAAGGGTGGCTGACTTGGAGCTGGGTTTACGGCTAAGGTTCAGCATCCCACTAATATCCCACTAAGCAGTATTCCACTAGTCAGGGAGCAGACGCTCCATGGAGGGAGGTGAGCTGGGTCCTGACAGTGTGATTTAAGTTGGCAGTTTGAGACCTCACACTGGGAGAAGTACTGGTTATGCTTTGATCAGGGAATAAAGAACGACTACAGCGCTCTTCTCACATGGGTCCTTCCTCTCACTCTCCTCTCTCTAGCGTACTTCATCCCAATCTTGACATCATGTCCAAACTCAGGACAAACTTTTTGCCACCAATGATAGTATGAGGTTGCTTTAGCTTTAATCAATCAGAAGTTTGATGTATTCGCATCATACATTCACCATAACTTGATGATTTTGGTAAACACCACTGAGGCTGAATAGCAGTTAAATACCCAGTATGTGATGATAACTGAAACAAAAAGATGGACTGTCCAGCACAACAAACTCTGTTACAAGACTAGTCAGAAGCTGTGTGGCGTGTAGCCTGGAGGATTTCCTTAGGACTGCCTGTGAAATACAGAGGCGGTTATTGCAACTACCTATGGTCTGCATACGGGTATCAGGGCAAGAAGGTGACAGGAAGTCAGCAGAAAATGGAAGTGTTGATAGGACTGAGTCCTTGCTGGCTGTAAGCTATAAGGGCTAATAGGGGTTAGTGCCTCACAGTTGGGACAAAAAAGCCCATTGCTGCAGAAAGCAGCCTGGTGTGTCAACTCAGTTAGTTCCCGTTTGCGGAGTCAGAAGCATTAGTCAAGAGAAGGGCTCTGGAAGGGGGATTAGGTGCCCTCGGGAGCACAGGGCTCTGGTTTGAGAGAGGACCCTGACATGGGCAAGATGGACCACAGCCTGCTGCTGTTCCTTAGTACCCCGATCATGAGAAGAAAGTCAAGCACTCTTTTTTTATGTACATATCATAGAATCATAGAATCATATATATCTGAATACACCCGTGCTAACAGTCCCTGATGGGAATCTTTTTCAGTCCTAACAGAAATCACCAGAACCGTCCCAAGCAGCTACTTGGACAAGAGTGGGCAGTGTCATGCACTAATTTTCTTTCTTTTTTTCTTGCTTATTTTAGGGCAATTATAAGATTATTTTACAAGGATTCTCTGATGATTCTGAGAATAATATAGTCATATGCTTGAATTTAACCATGATAATAAAACAAGATGATTTCTGAATGCAACAAATGTTTCAAATAATTCTGGAGTACAGAGGTCGCTTCTGCCAGCAACTGGAATCCTCGCTGCCAAATAATGAGCATACTAATTTTCCTGAGGTAGAATGTACCATGTACTGTCTGGAAAGCTGCATGATGGATAGTCTTATCCATTTATAGCACTGCTATAATCAGATGCTCAGTCAATGTGCACAAAATCTCTGGGAATCAGACATCGTGATTAATCCACAGAATAACCCTGGCTGGATGTCAGGCTGAGGACTGCATTTCAGTGCTATGCCTTGAGTTACAAAAAACTTGAGCCCTTCAGACTGAGCTGAACTAGTACAAGAAGTTTTGAAGTTCAAGAATCGGAAGTTCGCCAGTAGTCAAATACAAAACCATTTGAATCTAGGAACCCTGTTGTTTTCTCTTTTTTTTTTCTTTTAACAATAAAACTCATTTGCACAATCCATTTGATAAATGTCTTTTATTCTCCTGTTATTTTCTGATTATCTTTAGATGTTTCCTAATGTTCTGCTCTGTTTGCACTGGGCTGAACCACAGGAACAATTTGCTATATGGTACTAGCTGATGTGAATAATGTCCAAAATGGAACATGTTTCCAGTTACACTGACAGGACATGGCTGAATTTAGCCATCGAGAGCTGTAACCACAACCCCATAGTGCGCTCTTTTAGCGCTTGCTCAGAGTCCAAGGGGCAGAGACTACATAAGATGTCTCGTTCAGAAGGAGGAGGAAAATATCAACCTAACAGGTAGATACTTTTCTCAGTTACCAAAAGCATGCCTAAAGCTCTTACTTTGGCTTCTGCCTCTTGGGCAGCCTGATATTCAGTACTCACCTTCCCTCTCTGCTGAGCCTCCACACCTGAGAGCTTTGATGAGATTTTGATGGAGTATAAGATTTGGCCCTTAGGAAGAGAGTCAGCATCCTCTCAGGTTTCATGGTGCTTTGGTGC